TCCCCTACACATGTCATGCAGTTTCTTACTTTCCTGACTCTATGCCTGGAAGCCTATCTGCTTCTCGACATCCATTTGCTAGACTCTTCCACCAATCCTTTAAGATTCAGGTCGGTAACACGTTCTCCAGAGAGCCTTTTCTGACCCTGTAGTAGGTGCCCTGACAGCTTTTCTATATCCCTTTCAGAGCACGCCGTTAACTGTATTTTTATACCCCTGCCCCACCACTCTAGCCTGTGAGCTCCTCAAGGGTAAGGAGCATGCTTTATTCATCTTTATCCTGGTGCTCAGCAGTGTGTCGGCACAAAGAGAGGACTCAGAATTTAGTATCAAATGAAGCCCACGGAATCCTGGTGGTTAAATTACCTCTGCTCTGTTGGGTAAACTGTCTCTCCATCTACCACTTCTGATTAGTCTCCCATCCAAGCTAATGAAGGGCAAAGGGTCCAGTACTTATGAAGAGCAGAAGAGAAACCACAGACTTAGGCAGCGTGATGAAGCCCTGCATCCCTCACCTTCAGGTACTAGAAGATTGATGGGGCTGATGATTCTAAATGACGAGGAGCATCATTTAAAAGTAAAAATTACCCCTGGGCCCTGCTTTTAGGAAACTGTACAAGATATGAATTTGGCAAAATTAGCTATCATTCTTCATATTACCTAAGAACTCATTGCAAAGTTCTCTGAGCTGCCAGCTCTTTTTGATGCATTTAAATTATTTGAATCATGAATGCTTGATTAATATGGAACACTATGGGAAGATGTCAAAGAGTTGCAGTAAGCTACCTGTATTAGCACATTAAGCTATCACGATTTTGAATGGATATCCCAAGATATTTTCTTTAATTTCTCAAATTAAAATTCAAACCCTTGGGCTTCCCTGGTGGCGCAGTGGTTGAGAGTCCGCCTGCCGATGCAGGGGACACAGGTTCGTGCCCAGGTCCGGGAAGATCCCCACATGCCGCAGAATGGCTAGGCCCTTGAGCCATGGCCGCTGAGCCTGCGCGTCCAGAGCCTGTGCTCCGCAACGGGAGAGGCCATGACAGTGAGAGGCCCGCGTACCGCAAAAAAAAAAAAAAAAAAAAAAAAAATTCAAACCCTTGCTCCTAGAAACACTGAATTTGAGGATGAGTTTTAGAAGCCCAGGTAGACAAGGTATATTGATGCCTTTCCATATTCTGTGGCAGATTATAAATTAATCTCCTTATGATGTGATTTCCATAGAATCCATTTGCCTTTTCTTATTGTTTATCAGAACAGTGCTGTGAAACAAACATAAATTATCTCTCTTAGTTTAAAGCTGAGAAAAAAAAATAATAAAGTTGAGAAAGACTACCCTAGAAAACTTTGCTTGCCCTTTACCACAGTAATGAGACTTACTGGGAGAATATTTGAAGTGCAGTGTATCAGATTTTTCTGGTGGGTAAGAATTGTCAGAAAAAGATCCTTGGTCTCTGATTCCCTAGTGGGGTGCAGAGCCACTTTGTTTCAATCCAGTCCTAGACACCCTCACTCTGGTTGCTACCCTCAATGTGGTATTCCTTTAAACTCTGAGCCTTGAATGAAATTGTGTAAGGAAATGGACTATTCCCTCACTCCCTAACAATTCTTATTGTTCTCTTTCCCACACTGGGTTTCTGTGGGCAGCACTTATACCTCTACTCTCTCAGGATCACAGATTTAATATCTCCAGTGGATGGATATGAAATGTGGAATGAAAGACGTGGAAGTTGTGTACTCAGCTGCAAGAAGGGCTGCAATCTTTTCTTTCAATTCACCGTTGGGGAGAATCATCAGTTTGTCAAGCTACTTTGTTTTAATTATCTTTGAAATGAGTCACACTGAATCAGCTTAATGGGAGTGGTATAAGTTTAAAAATAAATCAGTTTGAGCTGTGACCACTTGTGATCTTTTATGGAAACAATTCTATGGACAGTACTTTGATCTCTCATATCTGGTCCAAGTATATTGTTTTGGAAATTTTTTGTAAAAACAACTTTATTGAGGTTATGTTTGCTTGCACCAGTTTTCATTTCTGCTTTTAATGTCTTTCCAAAGTCTGCTTTGACATGCGTTGGACAAGTCATGGCAGAATGGCATAAAGAGCAAAAACTGGACAGGTGTACATTTGAATGGCATCAATAGTGTTTTTTCTTTTACAATGTGGGTAGAGAAGTGGCCACCTTCTATGTGTCTATCAAATTTCTACCTCCTTTTTATTTTGCAGCTCATTAGAAAACCTCCCCACAGTTTAAATTTGCTAATGGTGTATATCCTGAAGCTTGATCAGGGCAACGCTAACAGTCCTGTGCTTGGGCAAGTTAAACTACATGAAGTCCCAACGAGGTTTCTTTGGAAAACTTTGGTGACTGCCTTCAAGCTTAGTCACTTGCACAGTTGTATGTGGAGACACTTCAAATTACACAATCCAGAGCTGAAAACGGGTGGGTTTGGGGGTGATGGGGGGGTTGTTTATTTTTGATAAGATGGTAGGAAGGAAAATGAGCCAAACACTGACCATATTGAGGCATGTTTGTTTCTCTGTATTGTGTGACACCATTAAGCTGAGAGAAGGTGAGGACAGGGGTGAAGTTGGGCAGGATTACCAAGAATTTATAGCACATCACTGGTCTGGTATGCTTGGGCTCTCTCATCTTTCCCCATGGGAGATAGCATTGGGGTGCTTTGCCTTTTTAGTTTCCATTTTTCATTGGTATTCTGTCTTTTCCATTGCCAACACTCTT